CTTTTTAAGATAGTCGATCGTATTGAAAACACACCTATCGATTATCTGTTTCTATTGGATATAGAGAGACGACTGTAATATACAATAATGATAGCAGTGATTTTTTTTTCAAAGAATTGCATCTGAAATTAACATTTATTTTTTCCTTTGTAGAATTTTTTTGATGGAAATCGATCAAGAGGATTCAAGTAATGTTTTTTTCGGCAATACTATTCCTGGTTTAGATAGTATGAATTTATACTTATAATATTCTTTTTTTCATGCCGCATATTTTCTTTTTTTTAGAGCCAGCGCGGCACACAGTAAAACAAAGACGATGGCGAGCACATCGAAAACAAAAACTCTACTCAACTCAATTATCTTTACCTGTCCCAACTGTAGAACAAATTGTAAATAATTTGTTTTGACTACGCCATTTTAATATAAAAGCTTAATAGTGTTTCTTTCCTTTTAGGTTGAACAAGATTTATGTTTATCATCTTAATGATGAAAGTTTTCAAGATAATCTAATTATTGATGATGATGATTTCATAATGGTAAACCGAAACTTTTTGTACTTTATCATCCCTTTTTCTGTTTTTAAGTATTAAATGAAATCAATTTAGGTCATGTGGCACGTGGTTCTTCATTGAATGCAACAGCACGATGTTTAGTTCGTACTGCATATGGTGAAACAGCATCATTTAATGATTTAGCTTCAGGAGGATTTGATCTTCTTTTAAGTAAGATTAATAAAAGACATTCAATCATTATTTTAGTATTTCAAATCTATATTTTCAGCTTTTATTGCCCGAATTCATCAAATAAATGTTGCATCTGTCATTGCAGACAGTCAATAAATCAAGAACTCTTTACAGCAAATGAAACACGACAACAACAAAAAAACCTTCTCGACCAGATCATCCATTACATTATCAAAACGAGAAATTTCGACAACAGTTCAACCATCATTATTATCGAATAAAGAACATGATGATGATGATGATGACGACGACGAACTTTGAAACATAGATTTTTGTGGC